GGTCAAACCGAGACATCAACCAGATGAGATCATTCTGGTGTTTGACACATACAAGGCTGATTCCCTGAAGAGTACCACAAGGGAGAAACGGAGACAAGGGAAGGATCCGATCCAAAATCAGATCAGAGATGACACCAGCATCAAGCACATCCCAATGAGCCGGTTCCTTTCCCACGACAAAACGGAGGCTGATCTGACTGAGTATCTGGCAGCAAAAAACCTGGAGTACAACCAAGACTCGTCAAAGCTGGTTATCGCATCTGCCGCAGGACGTACTAGGAGCAATAGCGAGCTGCTAATCGAGGACAACAATCACGAAGAGGCGGACACGCTGCTAATCTATCATGCAGTGCTGGCATCACAGAGAAACCCACCTGATGTAGAGTTGGTGGTCTTCTCCCCAGACACTGATGTTCTGGTGCTGGTCGTAGCACATTATGACCTTCTGCTGAGAAACACGTCCATGTCAATGGCTTCCGGAGTGGTCCAAGTGCAGCCAATATGGACAGATCTAGGTCCAGAAAGAGCAAAGGCTTTGCCAGCCTTCCACGCATTCACGGGGGCAGACAACACTGGGAGGTTCTCTCGCATAGGAAAGGCAACCTGGCTGAAAGTCTACATCAAAGCAGGCGGTGTAGTCATCAATGCTCTGCAGATGCTTTCAGATGCCGCTGAAGTCACTGAAGAGCTGCTGTCAACGCTGGCTACATTCGTCTGTGCTGCATACGCGCCAAAGGGCATCCAGATTGCGAGCATCCCTGAGCTGCGATGGCATCTTTTCTGCAAGCATATGGCTGAAAGTGACAAGCTGCCTCCCACCCTTGGTGCTCTCAAGCAGCACATCCACCGAGTCCAGATCCAGGCCACAGTATGGGGCCAGGCAAGCATTGCTCAGCAGCAGTTCCTGGATCCGCTGCAGCATGGCTTCTACAAGGACACAGCAGCTGATCAGGTGAAGCCAATCACAACTAAGGTCCTCCCAGCCCCCAAGGCCATCATTGAGATGGTGAGATGCCAGTGCAGAGCAGACTGTTCAACATCTCGATGCTCTTGCACGTCCAAGTACTTATCATGCACAGACCTCTGCCAGTGCAGCACCCAGTGCCAGAATGATGAGGACTCTAGGAATGACATGTTGCCGACCAGTGACAGTGATGATGATGATGTGTAAAGATTCTGCTATATAACAAAGATTTTGTTATACCACACTTATTTTGTCATGCTATCATGATATTGAAGTTGTCCAAGAAGCTGCCTAGACATGCTAGAGGTTTGACTTGCTACATGTAGAATCTTTGAGCCATTTAAAAAATGTATTATAATGGAATGAACATGAAAATCTGCTTTGTTCCTCACCCCTGAAAATGTATGTTTAGCCGTTAAAAGCATTACTCTAGGAAACCTGGATGCTGAGATATTGAGAAACACCAATTTTCAAGGCAGCCATTTTGAAAATCCAAGATGGCCGCTTGGTGGTTATGTTTAGCTTATTTTACTTTGTACCACTGGCTTCTTCACCCCTGAAAATGTATGTTTAGCCGTTAAAATCATGACTCTAGGCCACCTGGATGCTGAGATATTGAGAAACACCCATTTTGAAGGCGGCCATTTTGAAAATCCAAGATGGCCGCCATGCATGCTTCCGGCAAATTGTAAACATTGGTTTTCTGATTGCCTACACCACACAGATTCCAAAAATGTATAGGTTTGCAAATCCCCCAAAAAAGTTAACGAAGTTCAATATCTGGACATAGTGAACTTGACTATATGCCAGATATCACTTCATTCATGATGCGGATCCTTGCATCCGACAACAAGGCCGTTTTGGATCTGAAAGGGAGAAAGCACAATATAAACTTTTCTGCAAAGATCTGGGGACTTTATTGAGGTCGTTTGCAGTTTCAAATGAAAAAAAGAAACACTCCTCATGCATTGGAGGTTAGTAGAGTATGAAGTTATTGGTTTCTATAACAAAACATTTCACTATGTATAGGGTTTGTATAACAAAATATGCACATACCAGACAATTGCTTACTTCGAAGACATTGGTACCATATTATACTGAAAGGTGTAGTCAGGTGTAGTGGTAGTGTAATAGCTGTTGCACCGAGTGGTGATTAATGGTACTATGCTAGTAATAGCGAGCATTCTCAAGGCAATATTTGACACTGCTAAAATACCAATTGAAACGGGGGGTCTAAAACTGCCGTTTATAAGCAAACATTATCCCAATGGTTATCTGATCGACAGTTTACCCAAGAATAAGTCAAAAGGGATATCACGATAGGTTTCTGAATGCACCCAGGATTACCTAAATTTGGAAGCTAGTTTCCCAATGTAAATTTGGAGGGGTGCCATGAAGATCAAAATGGAAGTCCCGGCAAGGCAAGACACTCCGATCTCTCTCCAGGCTAGGGCGACCACGATAGTCAGCTGTAGAGGAGCTATCCAGAGGTAGTGGAGGAGCCGGAAAGCCTAACAAGAAGGAGACGAGGCAGCTTGATTCATTATTAAGCAACTTCTGACATACGAAATGGGGAAAGTATGTGGGATCGATTGGGGTTGATCGATTGATATCCGTTTTGACTTTAGAGTTGCTATTACATCTGGTGCACGATGACACAGTACCTGGTTAACAGTCAGAATGTTACATTAAATGCTCACACAATGTCTCATCGAAGTGGTGTAGCCAACAAGTAAGGATAATTTATCCTGTCCAACAACATTTTTTTCACGAGTGTTTTTTGAACGTCGCGCGATTGTCGGCATTGTTATGCCATGAAGAGCAACACCTATAGTCCGATAGTACCTATGATCGACGGCTTTTAGTCTGCTTACCAGACCAAAATATTCTGACTATTTCTGATGAATATAAGGGGTAGTACGTAGCCGTTAGTGTCACTTGACCGAAACGGGAGGATTTTCGAATACATTTCGTCGACACTCTCGGATAGCACCTGGGTAATTTTGGGTATAAAATAGGTTTTCTTTGCCTGCACTGCTCATTAAAGAGAATACGCAAATGAGTTGATAATTAAAATTCATTACTTGCATGAAACAAAAAATGTAATTCAATGAATACTCTGTGAATCAAGTATTGCACGACGGACGAGCTTCGCTGCATCACTTCGCATCACATTGGTTCCAAAGTGTTCTTTACAGTATCAAGTTGATATATTGGTCACACCCAAATAATTATCAGAGGATTCAATTTCTGCTCAATTTGTCACCACAGTTTTACAACACAAACAGTTTCCACTATGGAGTATCGTGGATAATTGTAAGTCCCACTGGCAGTCACACGCGTTTTTTTGATTTTTTTTTTTTTTTGGGGGGGGGGCACCTACCAAATCGAATCTGTTGACGTCATTGGATAAGATGTTGACCAGTTGACCGATTGTCGTTTCTCCTAAAGCTAGGTTGCTGAGTCTTAAGGCCTGCAATATTGAGAAGGGAAAAAAGTATTAGCTATAACACTTGTACTTTATAAGGACATAAAAATGTGAGAATACTGCGAGGATCCTCTTACCAATATCATATCGTGCTTAAGATATCCTTGCTGAGATTACTAATTGAATGAATACGCATCGCTGGAGTAATCCTGTGCTCTGAGTTTGCTACGTATGGGCGCGTTTTTTGTTACTGGTGCTGTCATCTTTTGTATTTGACAACATGATGGGGTTTTGGTTTGTATTGTCACCTTAGCCCTCCAATGAAAACATGCATTGTGAACCTTGCTATTACTTGGGTCAATTTTAGTCAACCCCCGTTGGTCTGTACACAGTATGCCAGGAGGTGAGATAGAAACATTTTGACCGTTTGTGACCTCTTAAATAGCAGGAGGATTAGTACCTTATACTGATTGAACGGTAGGCCTTATAGGGTATTACACCATGCTGGATTTACTCCATGTTGGTTTCACCCCATGCTCCAATTTCCTACTTGAAATCTTGAATCACCTTTCTGAAGATGAGACCCGAGCAGGCCGTCCTTAGCCTCATTCCTGTGATCCAATAGCCGAAGTAGCAAAAATGGCTGGCTATAAGTATGAGCAGGGAAGACAAGGACATGCCCAATGCTTGCAAGTAGGCTTCCGTGGTCGACACGAGGTCCGTGGAGAAGTACAGAACAAGACGACTCAGCATCACTGGCTGGGCCATCTTAAAGACGACCTAATGTGATAATAACCACATCCAAAATACATGTATGAGAAGTAAGACAGATATCAGAATAAACGAAACACGGGTTGAATATACGAATTTACGATTTATTGTTGAAACAACCTTTTAAAAGTTTCTTATAATGTAAACAGCATTTAATATTGTCCGTAGTGATTTGTATTCAAACATGTACAAACACAAGACCCATTCCTGACAACAAATTGTAGGGGTGGATTATAACTTCTTCTTTTTTTTGCGGAATCCCCGCTGCCATTTTTAAGGAAAATATCGTTGATTATCCATCGGCCCTTTGGCCACGGCAACCATCATCGTATTAGCAGCGATACCTACCTCAAAGTGAATACAGTTCATAAATCGCTGTAGAAATTGTGCTCCATCATTTTCATTGTCCCCGGGGATTCCAATCATTGTAACCTTAAGAAGGGTTTACCCAAGTACTATTAACATGTGGATTGTGCAACTTGCCAAAATATAATCCTGGACCATTGTTGTACAACAATTAAGGGAGCCTGCAGATCGCTGAAGCGAGCCCCTTTTGGCAACTCAGACTATAATGTGGAACTCCTGGTTCCAGCACATAAGCAACAGCTTAAACGCCAGAAACCAGATGAATGCCTTGTTCCAAGGTGGACATATGAGGGTATTCAGCGACTGCATGCATGTTTTGCTTGAACTGAATCGGTCTTATTTACAGAAAGTGCAGCTGATTTGGATGAATGTGCAGAGTTCACAATGGACTACATCAAGTTGTGTGAGGAGCTGTGCATTTCAAAGAAAAAAGTGACTCGATATCCAAACGACAAACCTTGGTTTGACCGTTCAGTGGACTCGGCACACTGCTCCAGGGACAAGGCATTTGAGTGTGGACAGGTCAGCTTTGAAACGGGCAAAATATGCCGTCTGTTAAGCAATAAGTGATGAAAGAGGGGACAAGGAAACAAGAACAAAAATGTTGCTGTTAATTTCATGGGGGCTGTTAGGGTGAATGTTCCCTTGACCGAGCTCGGTAAAAAGAATATGTCGAGAAAACGAAAGACGTTTTGGGGAAAAATACTCCCCCCCCCCCACCTCCCTCTAGGAAAAAAATCCTGGCGACGTCCATGAAAACAACTTCTACTTTCTGGTGACCGTTTTCGAGTCGGTTTTATATTCATTTATTTTCTTTTGAAAAAGTTCCACAGATCTCTAGTGCAATAATTCACACTAAACAGATGGTTTTGGTTACCTCAATGAATGCAGGCAAGCCATGTATCATGTAATGCCAGCCAAAAGCTCTAAGCAACGCCCATCGAAGAGACGAAGGCTTTCCCGTGGCTTCACTTTTCTTAATTTCTTTATTCCACTCCCTGCATGGAGAAGGGATTCCAAAGATCATACTTGACATACCCACGGTAACATACAATTAAGATTTACAATAGTAAAATATCATATTGTTTTCACTCTCCATAGTTAGTCAGATGTAGATGTACTTGTTCATATTATTGTCATTGATCTGAAAGTCCTTAGTGTGCTCAAAGACTATTGACACTTTGTTGCATACATTTTATTTTGTGATAGGGTATTGCACTGGCACATACTTTACCTCTCGAGTTTACCGACCACAATAACAGCGGAGTCGTCAGGCAGAACGTCATACAAGTCTGTTTCAACAAGAGGTCTCTTGTAGCCTCGACGGAAGAAATTAAACATCCAGCTTCAAGAAGAAAATGATTATGTATGGAATTGAAAGCAAAGGAGGTTATGAACATTACAATACGTGATTGTGTCAGTATTTAATGCGCACTTTGTGTTTGATTTAGTATTTGCTTACTTTCCATGTAGAATTACTGAATGTTTTTTTTTTTCTCAGTGAAATGCAAATCAAGGCAGCAGCAACTAGCATATCAAAACGGAAGGGTAATTGTTCCTGGCGGATTGTCTAAGACTTACAGTTATGATGGTTTTAGACAGAAAAAAAAATCAGTGGAGTGTCATGGCCTAGCGGTTAAGAACACCGGACTCATATTCTGGTGTTTCAGAGGCAACAGTGACGTGGGTCAAGCCCGCCGGCGGACACTTGTGCCCTTAAGCAAGGCACTTAACCATTCCTGCTTCATCCTTCGGATGGGACATAAAGCCGTAGGTCCCGTGTGTTGTGTAATGCACGTTAAAGAACCCATTAAAACTTGTCACTAAGAGAAGGGGTTCGCCCCGTCCTGACAGTGGCCGCAGCGCCTTGTAAACCCTTATAAGGTGCTACATAATGGGTCTCATATTTCTCATGTACTTCATTCATCTAATAATATACATAACTCCTAGTGCCTTGAGTACCTATACTCCATTGCGATAATGCCTGAATAGGTTTCTGCAACGTAACCATACAGATACAGATCAGAAGATATATCGTCAAAAAATTGTTATGTATAATTTGCTTATAAATATGTATTTTATACCAGAAAATTGCTGAAAAGGTTTTTAACTTAAAAAAAATACGCTTAAGATTTTCAACAAAACACAAAATGCCCCAGTATGTTAAAGCAAATCGGTAGAAACAAACTCCACTTCAGAATCACATTCACTAACTGACTAAAGGTTACAGTTTACGGTAACAGAAAAACACTGTACGAAATGAAGTGGCGCGTCATTGTGCAGGCCTACGGGATACGTAGGCCATCAGCCTCGGTCCATTGTTTTGGCCACCGGTATCAAATGAGGGGAATATTCGTCATAGCGATTTTTGGCAATGTATTCACCTCCGGAGTTGGAAAATATGTCATAGCATTGCAGCGGTGGCAGCTTTTGGGTGTTATCACCTTTTTTCTCAAAATGTCCATCAAAATGCTTGTTACCACTCTAAGGGCGGTACACCTTGCGCATGCTCACTATAATAATTTATGTCCTGATTTGATACCGACCAAACCCCCAGGCTGATGGCCTGATGTGGTGTATGTGCAGGTATAAAAGGGTGCATAACTTATCTTACAAGAATACTAATTTTGAGAAGAGACCAGCTGTCTTCATGGGGTGTGGCGGTCTTCTGACTCCGGAGGGGGCTTTGACGGGCTCATCCTCAGTCTGCGCGAAATCTGAAACATGTCTAGGTTTGATGTCGTAACCCGATGTTTTGGACGAAACGTCGACGTTATGGGCCGCCATGACGGTGCTTGCAATATGACATGCGAATAATTATTATTGTATATTGTAGCAGTAGTGGTGCTTGTTGGTAACAGTTATTCTTTGCAGTGAAACGTACGTTCCCTTGGTGTTATTGCACAAAGATAAGGTAACCAATACGTGTACACTTACGTTTCCCATAATACAGAGTTCAAGTGTAATACAGTTGACATATGCACAATGATGTATCCAGGACTTTGGTCCAGAGTATAAAATTGATAATTAAAGGGACATTACGGTCTGAAATCCCCGAATATTTCATGTTCCGGAAAGTTAACTTCAACTATTTTTAAAACGTATGGTTGAAAAGGAAACAAAGCTTTATGTCTTACCGTTCCCGAGAAAGGCAAAACTTTGGTAGTTGTGCATAACTGTCGGTTCTGAACAGCGCCCCCATCAGCCCCTGGTACACTACCAGCCAATGATGTTGGTATGGTTTCGAGGCGGGAAGTCACTTATGTGACTCACCTTTGAATATGAATTGCGCCCCCTGTTGTTTTCAAACGAAACTTAATTACGACTTCTTTAAAGAATTTTTCGACGAATTCTTGCACGTGATCAGTAGCTGTACACTCATGAGGGCACCTACAATGGAAAAACCATTGTGCACGCTATTGTACTCAGCAATTGCTCTGTGATGGATTACTTGAACAGCTATCACACGATTTTGCCACGGAAGGGGGGGCATTCGTGATACCATTGCTATAACGTGCTCGGATTGGCCTTCAGCCGCAAAAGCTTATGCATCGACGCAACTTGCTTTGAGCTGTGCAGAAAGTTGCATGTGATCATCTTTCTCAACCATCCTTTTCAGAAGTATTATAAGCTCTTTTTATCAGATCAGTTATTTTTCTACATGGGATATAGAAGTCCATTTCGGTCTGTTACGCGTCGTGTCTCATAAGTTTGGTAGTGATTGATGATTCTACTTGGTAGATATTGATGATTCTATCTTGGTGGCGCTTTTCAACAAGCTGAAAGACTAAACAACACAAGTTGTGGCATTCCAAATCATTTAATTTACGAATCCAGAAAATGTATCATTCGGTTTTCTGAATCGCGTTGATTAAATGTAATGGTTATATATATTTATTTTTATCAATTTCTGAGATACAATTATTTGGGTTGGATTCTTTCATCGCAAAATTCAAGCTCTTCCTTATGATTAAGGGTGTCTAATACCGAGATTTAAAAGTAAAACAACCACACAACTATCCTTTAAAAAAAACTGGGCGCTGTTGTAGTCTTATTGTGTTATTGTGACTTTCGGGTCCTCTTTTGCGACCCCAAAAAGTCGGGCTGTTCGTGCTAGTTGTGATTCCATCCGGAAGGGTTTGCGTTTTGCGGATGTGTAAGAAATCACATACCGTGCCGTGCATTGGTGATTGGTCACTGCTGTTCGTAAGCACGGCGTTGGGTAAGTGTGGAATACCAGACACACCAAACGTGTATCGTACATTGTATGAAAACGACAGGAAACACGTTTTATACTCCGTCTTGTCCGATGTAAAAAAACCGTAGTTTGTGTTTGTTGGTTTTTTTCTTGGGAACGGTAAGACATTATTAGTTGGTTTCCTTTTCAACCTTGTTCAACTTTCCTTTTCAATGTTTGAAATATGATATTCAAACAATTCAAAGCATGACATTTTTGGGGATTTCAGGACGCAGTACCCTTTTAAACGAAATTCATAAAAACCTCAGACAGTTTAGCCATTCCTATAGACCGCTTGCAGACGCGTTCGATAATTGACGCGCTCAGGTGAGCGACGCCATGTTATGGGACAAAATGTGCGTGGATAGATATACGCCTGTCCCACAACATGGCGTCGCGCGCCTTCGCGCGTCGATTATCGAACGCGTCTGCAAGCGGTCTATTGGTCGAGAGCCCGTCACGTGGCCGGTATTAAACGGATGATAAAGACATGGCTAGCTGGTCTTAAACACTTTTCCAGTGTCACAATAAAATGTGGACTCCTAAAAATCCAGTGCCTCTTATCGTTTCATTGGTTGAACGTTCACAATCCTCACGTAGGCATGCGCAACACTACCAGGGAGTTAGAATTTTATAGTTCTAAATTCAAAACGCAACGCGCCAGGTGCGTTCTGCGCGACATCGCGTAGAACATGATACGCGCGCGTCAATCTCCATAAAAGGGTTGTTTTCATCCTACTCGCCAGCTGAACACTCCATTATTTTGCAGGAGGGATGTTTCAAAAAGCATAAAGTGAATTTTTTGAACAAAATCGGGATGTTTTGAACGAATTATATGATTTTTTTTACCGAAAAGGTATTTATGAATGGGAATAAATATGTACTCCGTCGGTATTTATCACTCTGTTTAAAACCACTTAGAGTCAGGGTGCTGATAATTACCCTCGCCTCCGGCTCGGGTAATTATCAGCACCCAGACTCTAAGTGGTATTAAACAGAGTGATAAAAACCTCCGGAGCACACATTTATTCCCTTATTATATTTACTAGAAATATCGTTTTGAAATAATAATCACCAACCTTTAAAAGCTGGGCGTTTCTGTTTGATTCTTGCGAAAACCATGCAAGAACGAATTTCGGTGGTCACAGTTTTGTCTCCGAAAAATCGAGCTGTGATCCAGCCGCACAGCGGTGAGAAACAACATTTGTGTATTGGTAATGTGTGTATTATGTACCACATACACAACGTGTGCCGTGCCGGGCCTTGATTAGACACGACTTGACATACGTCTGTGGTTATGCCACAAGATGGGTATGCCAATACATGCTGGGAATTTCAGGCCGTAATGTCCATTTCATTACTGATTTTGTACCCTGGACCCAAATCATATATACTCTATTGTTCTTTGGTCCAATGGACACACTCGAACTTTGTATTTTGGGAAACACACGTGTACACGCATCGGTGACCTTATCGTTCGGCAAGTACGTGTCACTGCAACAAAATAGCTGTAAGAACAAGCACCTATATTCTGACACAATAGACAATAATTTATTCACTCCATATTATATTTCCAGAACCGTCATGGCGGCCCATAATGACGGCGGATTGTCCAAAACGTCGGGTCACGACAGCAACCCTAACCAAGTTCCAGATTCGACGCAGACTGAGGACGAACCCGTCAAAGCACCCTCCGGAGTCAGAAGACCGCCACATCCTATTAAGACAGCTGGTCTCTTCTCTAAACTATTTTTCATGTAAGATAACTATACACCATACCTGCACATTTACCCATACTTACTTTATAATCAGGCGCGGTTCTAGAACCAATATTTTTGGGGGGCTAGCACGGTGGATCCAGAATTTTGTTCAGGGAGGCGTGCTGAAATGTTGACTGGTTATTTTTTCCAGACACTAAGGCCTCCGAAAATCAATAGGGAGCTCATGCCATATTTTCAATGGGGAGCGTCAATAAAATCCTAAAATCATTCACACTAAATTAACTAATGCACCCTTGTCAGGGCTATTTCTTCTTTAGCGGGAGACCGTTCGCATGTACATCACAATCCTTCTTTTTGCTAATGTTTTTTTTTTTTTTACGGAACTTATTTTTTGGGGCTAGACACAATTTTTGGGGGGCTACAGCCCCCCTAGCCCCCCCCCCCCCCCCCGTAGAACCGCGCCTGTTTATACTCCCTGTATTGTTATCTACATTTCCTCCTTAATTTTTTTCTCCTTAATACAATAAATTATCGTTTTCTTCTTGAAGCTGGATGTTTAATTTCTTCCGTCGGGGCTACAAGAGACCTCTTGTTGAAACAGACTTGTATGACGTTCTGCCTGACGACTCCGCTGTTTTTGTGGTCGGTAAACTCGAGAGGTAAAATATGTGCTAATGCAAAACCCTATCCCAAAACGAAATGTGTAAATGAAAACAAAGTGTCAATAGCATTTGAGCACACTATAAGCTTTCAGATCAATGACAATAACACGAACAAATACATTTACATCTGACTACCCATGGAGAGGGAAAACAATGACTATATTACAGTTGTAAATCTTTATTGTATGTTATCGGTGGTAGGTCGAGTATGGTCTTTTGAATTTCATTTCTCCACGCAGGGAGTGGAATAAAGAAATTAAGAAAAGTGAAGCCACTGGAAAGGCTCCGTCTCTTCGATGGGCGTTGGTTAGAGCTTTTGGCTGGTATTCCACAACACACGGCTTTCCTGCATTCATTGAGGTAACGAAAACCAGCTGTATGATGTGAATAAGTTTACTACCTTCCACAAAAGAGATGTAGGGAGACATTTTTCAAATACTTGGCAATTGAAACGCTAGACATTGATTACATGAATAAGACATCCGATTCGAAGTTAGTCACCTAAAGTCGAAATCGTTATTCTGGGTTATGTAATCCTAGGTTATTCACAACATTTTAAATAAAACGCATCTTTTAAATGGTAAACATTCAACACCAGATTTATGTTGAAAAACGACGGAGAGCACTTTCTACAGCAATTAATGGTCTTGATTTACCTTAAGGTGGGGATCGCTGCTGATCAGGGGATCGATATCGAGGCCAAAGGGCCGATTGATAATCAACGATAATTTTCTCAAAAACGGCAGCGGGGATTCTGATGCAAAAAATAATCTTCGCCTACAACTTGTAATTTGGAGTGGGTCTCGTGTTTGTAAATAATTGAACAAAATTCACTGTGGAAAATAACCACAAAGGGTCCATGCTGTTTACATAATATATAACTTCAACCAATCGTAAATACGTTATTATATCAGTGTTTTGTTTATTCAGATGTTCTTCTTAATTTTCAAACATGTATTTTGGATGTGGACATTGTCAACAGGAGGTCGTCTTGAAGATGGCGCAGCCAGTGATGCTGAGTCGTCTGGTTCTGTATTTCTCCACGGATCTCGTGTCGACCACGGAAGCCTACTTGCAAGCATTGGGCATGTCCTTGTCTTCCCTCCTCATGGTTATCACCCACCATGCCTGCTACTTCAGCTATGGGATCACAGGAATGAGGCTAAGGACGTCCTGCTCAGGTCTCATCTTCAGAAAGGTGATTCAAGATCCAAATAGGAAAATTCAGTATGGAGTGAACCCTTCATTGAGTTAATCCAGCTTAGTGTTATCCCCGCACGGTCCAATTCCGACCAACCAGTATAAGCTATTCATTGTTATTTCGGTTGTGTAAAAATCAAACGATTGTGTACTATATGAACCTAGCAACCTTTTGTGTAAACTGTTGTTTACACAACTTGTGTAAAATAGTACACACAACTTGTTCAGTTTTTTACACAACTGGTTACACAACTGTTGAATTATAACAAAAAATAATGTGATATTAAAAGACCAATCCCTACCATGTTGTCAGTACAACGCCATTACAGTATAAATAAACCCATCAATGCGTAGCAAACGCAGAGTACATGA